GCTATAGGCGCCGAGCCGAGGAAGGAGTTTTTATCACCCCATGTGAGAGACACAGTTTATGAGACAGAGTGGAGAAAAAGAGGAAGAGTGGAATATTGTCTCCGGAAGGGTTTCTTTCATTTCTCATCCATTCATTCATTCCAACCATGGTTCTACCTTTTTCCACTCTTCAGCCTTCAGGAGGGTCTTTTGTGGTCAATTGTGGAAGAAAGGCAGGCATATTATTAATCAGTAATTACAGCAATATGAAAAGTGCCACACTCACAAGGGTTTGATAGAAGGAAAACTCTTAACTTTGCATCTAGTCCTTAGGGATTTGACCTCAGAAAAGTAGTATTTGATCTAAAATTTAAGGGTCAAAAGATAAAAGCAAAGAACAGTATATATTCAGAGAGGAAAGAGCATGTGGCAATTTGGGCACTACCAGTTTGAATACAGAGCACATGTACTCTCTGTTTAGATTTAAAAATTTTTCTGTATCTTATGATATTCTGGCATCTTAACATTTCTAATTGGTGAGAGGTTGCTCCTGGGGCTAAATGCCAGGTGCTCTATATAGGAAGGTGGGAACATGGATGGCTTTGATATACGGATGAATCAATCCTGAGCCACACTTCTGCTCTGTAGCCCTTAGCCCCCAGGAAGCAGTACTCCTCTGCCTTAATCATCCCCGGGCCAGGTTACAGGGAACTGTAGGCAACCCCTCCAGTTTACAGCACTCTGAAATTACTCAGACTAGCCAATCCCACACCGGCTACTCTTCCTTGACTTACCTTATCCTCAGAAACTCCAGCAAAGGCCTAAAGCTTGCCCCTTGCTCCTGCCCCTTCTACCTCCTGATTGCTGCTTCGCCAAGTGGCTGTGCGAGGTACTCTGTGCCCCGTGTTCCTAGGACCCATGAGTATAATGAAGTGTTTTCTTATGTCTCCCCTTGTGGTCACACCCGACTAATTATCACATAAAAGAACACAAAACATTATATTTGAGGATTTGAAAGGGAGTTTAGGTTGAAAAGGAAAACAGGAATCACATCAGTAAAGTGTTTACATCAAGCCATATCTCCATCATGTGTGTGGAACATTTAACCAAGCTAAGTTTACCAATCTACCTTCAAATAAATGCTTCGGTATCCCAAAGAGGGAGTGAATAGACAGAGGAGCAAGAAGGAATCTTCCAGAGTCCTGTTGCTCTAGAATGATTTGTAGTCCTTGGGCTAGGAGACTGGTGCCCCCACTCTGTTGCCTGGCTGCATGTCATTTGCAAGAAAATGCACTGCCACATTCCCATAGGAGAGGGTACCCAATGGTGGTGATTGAAAGCACAGATTCTGCAGCCAGATTGGCTTGTGTTCAAGTCCTGGCTGAACACTTAACTAGCTGGGCAATTTGGGCATATCATGATCAACTTTCCTCATCTGTGAAAGGGACCCTCATAGAGTTACTGGGAAGATTAAGTGAATTATGGTGTGTGATGGTACTCAAAAGAGCACCTGGCATGTAGTAAATGCTGTGTTAGCTAGGTAGTAGTAGTACCCAGTTAATCCTGTTAATATTTAATTCTGAAAGAGAGACCCAGATTAGTCTCACTGGAGACTTGTTAAGATACTTTTACATTGCTGAGTATGCTGGAAGTAGCAGTAGACAAATCTGTGGGCTTTAAAAAATAACTTTCTTTCTGTTATCATT